TAAGAAATATTCTAGCGGCTTACAGTGTGCTTGCACTTTAAAATTGCATGTAGGTCCGAGTTTAGTTCTATGTACTTTCTCTCTCCTGAATATACAAAATAAGCAAACCTATTAAAACTTTCAATACATTTAGCAAAAAAGTATAGGCCATCCCCTCCCCCACTCCCTAAGGCCAACGATTTCAAACTAAATTCATCCTTTTCTGTCGCATAATAGGCCTCTTTGTACATTTTATCTATTAAACTACAAAGGTAGGAAACACCTGAAATTCATCTACGGCAGTTGCCATGTGTTTCTGATAAAAACGAGTCCTTGGAACTCCCATCTACATTTGGACAATAAAGGATCTGATGGGGCCAAATAATTCGACCCCTGTTTGAGATAACTGGTCCATCACGAGACAAAGAAAGGGTTCAAACATCGGGAAAATCTCAGGTAAATCGGAAGGAAATGCACCGTGAAAGCAAAACTAATAAAAACTGAGAGAACCCCACCTCTCCGCTGGCGGGTTGGTTGGTAGGACCCTCCGTCAGTCTCCCGGCGGCCCATTTGATCCCCGAGAAGAAGTCCCCGAGGTACGGTGGAAAAATGCCTCGCAGACAACTATTGTCCTTCCCCCAATCCAATCGGTCGCTCCGTCTCTCTCTCTCTCTCTCTCTCTCTCTCTCTCTCTCTCTCTCTCTCTCTCTCTCTCTCTCTCTCTCTCTCTCATTCTCCCCTATCTCTCTCTTTCACCCACCTCTCTCTCTCTCTTTCTCTTTCTCTACCTTGTCCAGTCTACTTTCCGTCTCCCTCCCTACCGTAATTTAGCTAAATATTTTCATTTTCTTGAACAACATACCTCCGATGAATGGAATGGCAGTCAATTATTGTCAAAGTTTGGAGAAGGAACAGATCGATTGTACGCACCCCTCTCTTCCTCCTCCCATCTGCTCTTATCTTTCCATCTCCTTCCCTTATCCATAAACTATAATGAAAATAGTTAGCCTCCAGTATCCAGAAATTGATAAATGGATGGGGCGGAGTCCAGTCAGAACTAAACTTGCTAAAGGGGCTCGACGTATCTGGGTAGCCTCACGTGTCATTTAATCTGCCCCCATTATAATTTTAGGGGGTCCTCAGGATTTCAAACGGGGAGGGGGTACACGCGCTATGATGAATACACAGAATGATATTCAACTGTGTTATTACGGAGATTAACATTGACGAGTATACTATACTCTGAGTTGGAAATGACTTTTCGTTTCGAAAAGTGCAGAAGATTGACTGACGAACAAAAGGGGGCGCTAAAGCACTTGCATTTGTAGGCGGGGCTTTCTTTCCTATATCTTGCACGATTTACTAGTAAATGAAGCAATTATATACAACTGTGTTATTATGGAGACTAACATTGACGAGTATACAGCCACACTCCGAGTTGGAAATGACTTGTCGTTTCGAAAAGTGCAAAAGATTTGATAACGAACAAAAGGTGGCGCTAAAGCACTTACATTTGTAGACGTGGCTTTCTTTCGTGTCCTATACGATTAACTTTAAATGAAATAGTTTGTACAAAATATAATTATTGCAAAGACTGTAATGAGAGAAAAAGAATATCTTTTTGCGACTATTTCAAAATGTTGACATCAGTTTCTCCAAAGTAGCCAGGGTAAATACATGGGTGGGCTACACCGAATCCAAAAGAAAAGTAGGCCTACGTTGTTTTGTATCAACAAGGTTAGAAATATGCCATTTTCGAAAGTTATTCGAATTTAATGCACAAATCATTATTAAAATCATCGCTACAAATTATTTCATTCACCTGTTACGAACTAATGTAATTAATTAGTCAGAATGCAAAATACATACGTTCCGATTTGCTAGGTAGGATAAGCCATAATGTTTGTACTACGTAGCAACCATTAATGTATGCAATTCATATTCTGACCGTTGAAATAAAATTGTTTGTAATGAAATAATTTGCAACATGGGACTTAACGACACTTTATGCATCAAATTTGATTACATTACAAAAATGGTCTATTGAATAAAAATTATAATATAAAATTTATTTTAATGTAATGACAAATAAACATCTGAAGTTTTTTTTAAACAACGTGTTTTCTTGGTACAAAAGCCCCCCCCCCCCCCCCCCCCCCCACCTCTGGCATGTTGGCCATTCCCACAAGCATTCCGACTACTAGCACTAGTATGTTGTATGTTGTCACTCACCGTGAGGACTTAATTAAGTCACATCACAAGTTGCAATAGTTTTGACATTCTTCAAACTCTCAATTCGTTTACAATATTTAGATTCATTTTTTTTTTTTTTTTGCCAATTTATTATGATTGAAAACTGTCACCTGTTCTTTATACGAAAAAAGAGACGGACAATATTCCTCTTGACCAAGATGCCATCGAGAGAGGGAGACATTACAATAGTCAGAGTGAAAGAAATGGACCGGTTTGTAAGGAATTCGGGGAACAGACAAAATAGATACAGTAAACAACTAAATTATTCATACCCCTTGTCCATTTCATGCTTGTAGGTGGACTGGTTGAATTAGGGCCTACGTTGAATACTTTTAGATGTAACCTTTGTTACGTCACATTCTCAAGAACGATAAATCGGGACAGCTCAAATTTGTACATACTTTTAAAAATACAAAACTCAGTCAGGGTATGAATAATTTAGTTGTTAACTTTAAGTATTCATGGATAGAAATACAAAGATGAAAACGTAGATACATCGACTTCTGTTAGAAAATGATATGAATGACTTGAGTTGGGATGAAACGAATTCTTATTTGTCGTAATAAGAAAACAACTAACTCGAGAGCAAATTATCTGAATTTTGTTTGATTATTTTATTGTTCCATATTCCACATAACATGGCGGTCTCATATATAAGAATTAACAAGAGAATGCATAATTTGTTTTTAATGGTGAAAGTCATGTAACAAAGAGAAATCTTAATGTGAAATATGCAAAGCTTGTATATTATAGGTTCGCGCAATCGCTAAATTCAAAGTGCAATTAGGCCAATACTATTTCCTTATAGTCATTGGGTGTCTGCTTGTTTTAAGAAAACTTACAACAAAGAGCGAAGTCCCTAAGTTCCTCACATTATTTACTAATTTAAAAGTTGCTTTGACCAAATTAACTTATAAATTCCGTTGGTCAAGCTAGCCGAGGCCAGGTTTAGACACATACATAATTTATTAATTTATTTTATACATAATAAATTATTCATACCCTTTGTGAATTTGGCGCGTTTGTGTTTTTCGTAACTGAGAAATGAAAGGTGGATCAAATGAATAAGGGCCTTTGTTGAATACTTTTTAGATGTAAGCTTTAATACGTCGCAATCTCAAGAACGTAAATCGGGACAAATCGATTTTTCACATACAATTACAGAACTTGGTAAAGGTATGAATAATGTCGTTGTTAACTGTATCTATCAATGGCATTGCCTGGAACTGAACAATGCTTTTTCTAAAGAATATATTGGCTTAGTCGTGCTTCGAACTGTTATCTAATCCATACCAAGCGAATCTAGAAAAGGACCTCTTTAATCTCGATATCGATCGCTCTCCCTCACACTCACAACCTTTTCACGACTTACTATACCATTATTGCGTCACGAAAGAGAGTCTTAACTTATTCATACTTTGTGATACCCTCCTCATAATAGGGTCACTATCCACCATTGCCCATCATCATTATCATTTATACGATTGTACAAAACCAGTGATTATTTTGAAGCCAGTGCTTCGCTTTCTATTCCCCCTCGAAATAGAATCCTTGACGATATCTTAGATCACTCTTATTATTTGCACAGGCATTTTGTTATTATACCACGAGGGGAATCTATTGTAGGTTGGGTTACATAACAATGGTAAGTCGTGACTTAAAGCTTACGGGTCTTGAAGTGTTTTATATTTGTTTTGTAAATGCTCCTCCCTAAGTACTATCCAAAATAGGTAGTGTTTGTATACACTCTCGGAACACTCTTAACGTCTTCTAGTAAAATCAACATAACATTATCTTGTGTTTACAAAGTTGAAATGACACCAGAAGCTCGCAATAGCGCCATTTTACATGTATAAAGACAGGGAGGACTTCATACATTTTACATACTTGCTCAACTACATTCGGATTTAAAAGAAACTTAAAGATCATTTCATACTTGAATATGAATGATTTATATCAGTCGTAATTATCTTGATTACTTTATCTATATATTTCTGATACCGTACTAGTTGTATGTCTTGTATGTTTCTGTTGAGTTGTTTGTTGTATGTTTAAAGTAAAACTGTAAATATTTTTGCAAACTAATACCATTTTTCTTTGAGGGAATTTACGACCACAAGGCCTCTCAGGCTTTATTCTTATTTTTTCTTTTTATTTTCCAATATAATTTGCAGGTTATTCAACATTTCAATGTAACTTTCATTTGTGTATTTGCATCAAAATTGAAAATGTTTATTTGTATATTTTTGTGCTATTTACATGAGAATGAAATGAAATCAAACTTAAGGGTTGTCATGTCATTAAAATGATAAATATAACTTGAAAAGATCATAAACTAAATCATCAAGACAATTAAAACTTCTTCTTGATGGAAGAGTGTACCGGATGTTTCGGAATACTACGAATTATTTCGAATAACTTATTTGAGTTTATAAAGCCTGCTCAAGTTTGTTACTCTTTCTCCAATAGTTTCTTTTGACATTATTGATTCGGATTTCAAAGGACTAAAAGTTCTGTAAAAAAAAAAATTCTCACTGATCTGTCACAAAGTGCAATATACTTCGATTTCGAAAATGTATTTAAAAGTCACATATTCCAAGGTATTTGGATAAATTCCATAAGATGAAAATCACCATGAGCTATGTTGACAATCAAGATTGTTTTTAAAACAGTATTAGACACTACAACGTTTCATCGGATACTTCAATCGCATACACTTTAAGCCCGTCCCCCGCTCATCACTTAGGGCTCTTTAAAGTCATGCTCGATAGAGTCTCATATAAAAGAAACCGACGTCTATATATCCACACACTTCTTTGCTATTTAAAGTTTGGCACAAACTTCGATTATTGTTGTTCATCAAACCTGAGTCAATGTTTTTGTGGTGTATTCTTTCATGTCTCGCAACGATCAATACCGATTTTCTTTTGGGACCGGGAGGTAACGAGGTTGCGGCTCTTGGGTTAACCTTTTGTACGCCAGGTAGCGGGCTCCCCGGCACCCGTTGCTAGGGAACGCCGAAATTGTCTCCACGCTTGAAATCCGATACCGTATGAGTGCCAATGATTGCGAGATCATTGAATGCACAGAGTCGAGCACTATTGACTGGCAACGTAAACAGAAGTTATCTATTCTACATGTGATTGAGTTATCTTTTCTACATGTGATAAAGTTATCTTTTCTACATGTGATAAAGTTATCTTAATGTTGAATGTGGGATTAACATTGTAGCGGGGAGAGACACATCTATGATTTCTACTCAATCGAATCGCGTATCATCATGGGAAACTTCTGGTACCATGGATAGACTTTTGGTGAACACTGTGGTGACCAGCCTCCCGGAGATATGGAGTCCGGGTGGGACGGGTATTCACCGGGCCATCTTAGGCGGTAGGCTGCACCAGGTGAGATTGCTGATCTCCATGAAAGCTAACGTGAACAAACGGGATTCTGCTGGCTATACGCCTCTTATGGTCGCCGCCATGTTGACGCCAGAGGAACATGGAATGAAGTGTATTAAAGTGTTGCTAAAGGCAGGAGCGGAATTGAACATCCTGGATTTTATGGGACGGTCTGCGCTGGGTCTCGCTTGCCTCCACGGCAGGGAAAAGGCAGTGGAAGCACTTCTTCCGGAGGATAAACTTGAAAAGAATATGCCGGACAAAAATGGTGATACCCCATTGAACCTTGCCGCATCCCAAGGGTACACCAATATCGTGAAGAGGCTTGTGTCATCGTTTAAGAAGGATTGCATCGTGGTTGATAAGAGGAATAAGCAGGGATGCACCGCTCTCCTCTTAGCCACTAAACTCGGCCACTACGATTGCGCCAGAATCTTGCTCGATGAGGGGAAGGCATCGGTAAGCTCCAGAGACAATGACTACTTCATGAACTCCACAGAATGGGCCAAGTTCAGCCAGCAGAAGCTCATTGATGAGATCAAGAGCAGGTCGTCCATGTTTGTGAACGATCCTCGGATGAAGTCGGCAGATCCGCGGTCCGAATCGGTCCCGCCGCCGGCGACGTCGTCGTCATCCCGCACCGTCCGACGTTTCATCCCGCCTTACCACAGCTTCAACAAGGAGATCCAAATGATTGGACAGTTGCGACGCCAGCAGGACCAGCTTACCCAACTCATCCTCGCTTTCCAGGAACGCGACAAGGACCGCAATAGCGAATCCAGTAGCCGCTGCGGTAATCGCCGAAAGGACAGCCGCGTTTCGAGCGCTGCGTCGGCGGCGACTGACCGCCTCGATCCGCGTGGCATCCAAGAACGGAACTCTCCCAACATTCCTCTTGATCTTGGGATTCTATTCAGACTGTATACCGAACAGCAGAAGAGCAGGCCATCACAAGCGGCTAACCGTCATCTTCTGTTGGGGTCGATTCCCTCGATGATTGAGCCGTCGGATGGGCATGGAAGTGCGACAGGACGACCTCCACCTGTAAGACGTCATAATACGTCGGTGGTCGCGACGAACAACTCGAACTCATCTAACCTGAAGAGAAGGACGACGATCACCAGTGTGTCCTAACCAATGACTTCCAAAAATCACTTTGAGTTTTGTACACAGAGGAATTATGCCTGAAACAGACACATGAAAATCGAGCAACTAATATTTTATATTTTATTATATCTATTTTGTGTGGAGCCATCCTTTAATTTCAGTTTAAAGGAGACATACATTGTATGGTCCATTACGTGTACATTGTTCTCCAGTCTATCTGTCACTATTTGCATTGTTGTTTTGTTCAGCTTTGATTAAGAAATTTACTTTCTTCTATGAAGAACGTGCTGTATGGAAGAAGGAATCTATCCTTATAGGGGTTCTTAACTTACAACATGCATCTGATAAGACAGTACTTTAAATGTCTTAGAGTTTGGAATTATTGATAACCATGGTAACAAAAGAATGATGTGACAGGCCTGTAATTGAACAACTGATGTCATCATTCCCATATTTCATCTGCCTCCACTTTCATGAAGTAAAATGCATTTTCTTGTTTTAACTTTTTTTTTTATTGTCGATGAACTTTGATGCATTGAAATGCGGAGGATCGTGTCTGTATAACAAGATTTCGTTTTTAAGTATGTGACTTAACGCAATTATTCTTTGAGTGCAATAATTTGCTATGCATGCATTACAATGGACACAGTAAAAGTAATATAACATCGAATTAGATGTGTGTATCTACGGGAGATTGCATTTTGGGGGTGAGAAGACGCATTTTATTGTGTATTTTACGTGCCAGTTTTATTCACTGATTTTATTGCAATGGGAAAATATAGAATATAATTCCGTACTACTACAGAGTAACATTCATGTCATTTAAATCAAATTGGCTTATGCTGAAAGACAGTTATCTTACTTTTCAATGAAAATCAGAAAGTACAATGTAACTCTTGATGATAACGTCGAGGGCAGTAGGGGCAGAGAAGACATTGTAACCTTGAAGTTTAAGAGTGATTTTTCTTTATCTATAATGAAAGCTGCTTAAATCTACCAAGACATCAAAACGGTCTGTACTAAATAATTATTTTCAATGTATTAATTTGAAGTATATGTTTTTGTTTAAGTAGAAGGAGATATAAGATTTTAATTACTGGTTATGATAACGAGTAAGAAGTCAAAGTGAAACTTGTTATCTATAACAATTGCTAAATTACTATGACAAATTTGCTCTCAGATAATCAGTTTTATGAAACAGGGTACTGTTTAACAATATGCAGGTTTGGAATTTGTTCTGCTTTTCATTATAATATTTTTTTTAAAGTTAAAGAGAATGTTGAGTTCTGGGCAGAGGTGAACAAAATTGGGAGCGTGTTCAATGTTATTATGCAAGTGTGGAAGAACATCAAAGAAAACTTGTTCCCTGAAAAGGATGGCTCTTCAAATGCCTTTATATATTCTAAGTATGACATGTAACAGCTTAAAAATGAGGACCACATATTTATGCAACATGTTTGTGTAGTCCCATATACATCTTTCTGTGTACAATGCTTGTTACTTTTATCAATACTGGACCAAATTTCTTACCATTTTGATGATTCCAGAACCTTCCACACCATTTCTTTCATAATGCAATCGCATGACCAATACTCAACTTTATCTTTAAAACCATGTTACCTTCTCCTAATTTTAAGATGTGCTTTTTAATGTATCGAGTTAGGTAGGGAACACAAAATTCTGTTTAGATTCCTCGAAAGAGAACTGCATGGGCTTCGATTTTTGTCAAATTCATTATTTTTCTGAATCATTGTCCCTCGCACTTTAGTTGTTTTTTAGTTTAGTTTTCGTCATGTCATTCTCATCATTCGATTAAAGAAGAACCGGATGATTTCTCCTGCGAATGTTATTTCCATTATAATGTGAAAATACCTTCGGTTTTGAGAATGTTTGTATGATTTAAACATAATTTTTGTTTTCAATGTGATATTTCAACTTAAAATGTTGTTGTCGACCAAATCATCGTTAAAGGCATTTTCCTGATTTGGGGGCGCAATTCAGATGTATACATTAGTTCATTGTATAGACAGAAGAAAGTAAGCTTCCTTTGCGCAATCAAATTTATTTACAAATTCTTCCAAGATATTTATTCAAGTTTGACTTGACATAGCAATTTTGTAATTAATTTTGTTCAATACGGACTATTTGAATCCATCTATTGTTTGTATATTTTTTTAACGCAAAGCGGTTTGACTGTGCATACATTACCACGCAATATATATATATATATATATACATTTTCCTGTTGAAATGAAGTGCATTGCCGAGTATAACATTTTAAGTTATGGACTACAATGTGTGCTAAAACAAGGTTTTGCAACAACAAAATATTTGCAAGTATGACTTAGCCATAATGCTACATCATTTGAAATCATGATTATTGTTTATACTTATTATGTTTCTGAAAGGGTATTGACGTTGAGTCTTGCGGGCAATTTATGTGAATTACCAAAAATTAAAAATGAGTATTTAAACGTTAACTGTTGATTTAAACTTGTGTTTGTTCTTTACCCACGTGAACTAGTGAATATTGTATTAATGATTGGTGACTGTTTAATTCATTGACTAACTGATTGATTAATTGATTGATTAGTTTCTTGATTAATTGGTTGAATCGTTGGTTGATTGATTGATTGATGGATGGAGGGATGATTTTAATTTGTTTATTTGCCTGATTTTGTTGATTGTTTGATTTATCTAATTGTGGTTTAAACATTAATAGGATGATTACAAAAAACTAATGATTCTTTTTTTTTCTCGCGTTGATCTGCTAACTGGTTGATTGATTGATTGATTGATTTATTGATTGATTAATTGATGAATTAATTGTCTGACTGACTAATTTGCTAACTGATCGATTGATTGGGTAACTGATAGATGATTGATTGATTGACTGATTGATTGATTGATTATTCGATTGATTTATTTTGACTGGCTGATTGACTGACGATGTTTATTGAATTATTGTTTGACTATTTTGCAGATTGGTTAATATTATTGATTGATGGGCCAATTGATGCAAGTTTATTATCTACCTTCCTCAAAATCATACTTTCTTCTGTAACATATTGCTCTCTCTTCTTCTTTCTAGACTTCTCTCATTTTCTCTTACTGTCTCCCTCTTTCACATTATTTTCACCGTTCCATTTATTGCAACGTAGTTCTCCTTTTCGTCGTTGCTCTCATTTTTCTCTGTATCTTGCTATCTATCCTATTAATCTCCCTCTCTCTCTCTCTCTCTCTCTCTCTCCCTCTCTCTCTCTCTCTCTCTCTCTCTCTCTGTCTCTCTCTCTCTTTCTCTCACACACTCTCCCAAATTCTATTGCCACAATTTATTTCCGCAACCCTTCTTTCTTATTTTAAGACCTCTCCTTTTTATCATCATTTCCTATATTACTTTGTATTGTTTTTTTCACCCACAAAGCATTATTGTGTTACCTTTTTGTTCTTTTACTTTCTTTGTGTCACTTTTGTCTGATAATCATATATATATTTATAATTATATCCCACTCAAAACGTTGCCAATCTCCTTCCAAACTAGCCAAATAGCCATGTCCTTCATCAAAAATGAAAAGTCATTTAGATAAAAACCTTTCGAAGTATTTCTGCTCCCATTTAGCCTTTCGTAGCTCACGATCCTTCATAGTTCATAGCTTTGATTTCTCTTTATATTCTTGAGATTATATTCGTCAGATTTGTGAAGAAATCACGTCCCTTCTCTCTGGCGTAGCCACGTCGCTCGTCCTAGTTTACAAGGCGTATCAAAACACGCGTGGATGCATAATAGATTAGGTCATCTTGCTAAAAACCTACACAGAATACTTGAAAGGAAACAGTTTGTAATAGAGGGCACCATATTTGCTCGTGCTGTGTTAATGAAGATTGTCACATCAGCCAGTGTATACTTCCCCGCACTTGCGCTACAAGAGTGATCAATTAAGCAGCGGGAAGGGCAAGCAGAGCTGTCAATTTAGCTTCATTTGATCTGCATTTTTGCAGAGAGTTTAAAGATGCACAAAAAAGAGAAGAAGAGTTTTTCCTGCAAAGATAAAAGACATTTTATGGTACCTGCTGGTGCCATTGTGTACGTAAGGTCTTGGCGAAGCGCGCACACGTTCGGAGCGTGCGCGTTCTTGAATGAGCGTGTGTAATGATAATTTGATTGGTCAGCGCTTTACCATTAGGACTACTTTCGCTAGTTGTTCAATTACACTTATTTGATTTGAGTTAACTGCATGGTTGCAAAACACTGAAGATTCGATACGAGTGCCTATATAATTTGACTTGTATGGGCGTGTACCATCAACAATAGATGAATGATAAGGCATTAAGAAATGTATGCCATTATAACTTGCATTCTTCCTCTTTAAAAGGTCTTTCAGATTTCGATGTTAAAATGCAAATAAAAAATGAGCGTATACGTGAATCAACTAAACATGCCATATGTCTCCAATTTCATTTTGCTTAATTGGGTAAGGTTAGTGTAGATTTTAGATTTTGAATACAAAATCTGTAATCTCTTCTCCAATCACGGAAAAACAGAAGTAGGCCGTGTCACGCATAAGACAATCTTTCTTTACATAACTATATCGAGAATATATTTACTGGAGCTCAAACTAATGTTTTTTTCAATGAGCGAAGGGCATATATATGAGTCACAGATTTTAAACAAATTAACACGGAGGATTCGCTAAATTTGCATTAAATGTACTGAACGTATGGTAATTTAATCGACTTCTTATATTCTCCTTCATCTATACCACTTCTTGTTCTATTCATAAAAGTGAATGAAACACAACCTTACTAGGTGTCACCAAGATTCTTTTAAGGACATCTTTGGTACCCTTTGTTGGCAATGGCCTCTGTAGAAGAAAAGCTACCTCGTAATGTTGTTTAAAACATTCAGTTCAAGCAAAATAATCAATTTTATACACACATAGTCCTGCACGAGTACAAGTAAGATGTTGGATCCATAGTGCACACCGCAGATCAATGGCCGACAATGAATACCCCGGGCAATGTCATTTAATGTAAAGAAAACGAAACGAAAGAAGATGGAAGGGTAAAGAAGAAGAAAAAGATAAAGAAGAAGAAGAAGGAGAAGAAGAAGAAGATAAAGAAGAAGAAGAAGAAGAAGAAGAAGAAGGAGCAGGAGAAGAAAAAGAAGAAGTAGAAGAAGAAGATGAAGAAGAAGTAGATGAAGAAGAAGGAGGAGAAGTTGAGGAACAAGAACAAGAACAAGAACAAGAATAAGAAGAAGGATAAGAACAAGGACAAGAACAAGAAGAAAAGAAGAGGAAGAAGAAGAAGAAAAAAAGAACATAATGATGAAAAGGAAGTAAAGAAAGAGAAGCAGTAGAAGAAGACAGAGACAAAGAAGAAGAAGAAGAAGAAGAATGAACTGTAAGAAGAATATAACTCTCATTTAAAGTAAAAGAAGAACAGCAATACAAATAATAGAAGACACTGAAATATAAAATTGTGATAGGGCTATATAGAATTATTTGTCAATCAGCATTTCGTACTGTGAAAGCGAAGAAAATAGTGATGACTACGATGGTTATTTACAGTACAAACTATCTATTTCATGGTGTCTACTATAATCATTCCAGTATAACGTCTTTATCATTCTATCCAGTGTACCTGTTTGTTAG